CCCTGTGCCACCCCACAGGGAGACGTTGGAGAGAAAGGACCTGAGGGAGCCCCTGGAAAGGACGGAGCTCGCGTGAGTGGGATGGGGACGGGGAGGGAGGGGGCCAAGCAAGGACACTCTTGGTGGCCAGCCAGAGGTGCCCATGGTGGCCAGCCAGGGATGCTCTTGGTGGCCTCCTCCTCATGGTGGTTGGTGAGGGAAGTCCATGGTGGCTACCCAGAGCCTTGGTGACCTCACTGTCCCCTCTGTCCCCACAGGGTCTGACCGGTCCTATCGGTCCCCCCGGCCCCGCTGGCCCCAACGGCGAGAAGGTGAGACCGGGGTGGCCCCACCAGTGCTCCCACAGGGGCAGATCTCACCTGATCCCTGGGGCAGATCCCACCTGATCCCTGGGGCAGCCCTGCCCAGACAGACCCCATCCATCCCCCACAACTCCCCCTTCCTTTCCTTCCTTTCCAGGGCGAGTCTGGCCCCCCCGGCCCGTCCGGAGCCGCTGGAGCCCGCGGTGCCCCCGTAAGTGCCACCTGTCCCCCCCCGGTACTGGCAGTGCCACATTGGCCCCATTCCCTTGATTTTCACCCCGTTTCCCCCACAGGGAGAGCGCGGAGAGCCCGGAGCCCCTGGCCCTGCTGGATTCGCTGGACCCCCAGTGAGTTCTGTCCCCAGTCCATTCCAATTCTGTCCCCAGTCCATCCTAGCGTCCCCAGCGGCTGCTGACCACTGACCACGACTCTTTCCCAGGGTGCTGATGGCCAGCCCGGAGCCAAGGGCGAGCAAGGCGAGCCTGGCCAGAAGGGTGACGCCGGAGCCCCCGGGCCTCAGGGTCCCTCCGGGGCTCCTGGACCGCAGGTGGGTCCAGCCGAGACCCCCACAATTAGGGCTGAGCCCTTGTGGGGGTCCCTCATCCCGGGAATCTCCAGGTCCTGAGTGTCCTGATTGGTTTTATGCCTCTTCCCAGGGTCCCACTGGTGTCACCGGTCCCAAAGGAGCCCGGGGTGCTCAGGGACCCCCGGTGAGTGGGGGGAGGGGAGGGGTGAGGGGGGAGGGGAGTGGGGGAGGAGCCAGGTCTGACCCCCTCTTGCCTCCGTCCCCAGGGAGCCACCGGATTCCCTGGAGCCGCCGGGCGCGTCGGACCCCCCGGTCCCAACGTGAGCTGGGGGCAACTGGGGGGAACTGGGGTCACTGGGGGGGAACTGGGATCACTGGGAGCAGCCAGGATCTCTTGGGAAGATCAGGGATTGCTCAGGTCCGTTGGGATCCCTGGGGAAAAACCGAGATCATGTGGGAACAGCTCACGTTGGGGCAGTCAGGATCGCTCAGAAGCTCTGGGATCACTCAGGCCAGTCGGGATCAGCCAGGATCGCTGCCCCCAGCTTCGGGGGCGGGCAGCTCCCCACGATGTCCCCGAACCAAAGCCACCCCCGGGTGCCACCACTCAGCCCTTCCTAAGAGGCATCACCAGTGCTCCCCAATCCTCGAGCAGTGCCAGGGCTGGGATCAGGGATGGATCGGGAACGGGATCAGGCACGGCTCAGGGATGGATCAGGAATATGGAAACCCCTCTAACCCCGATCTCTCCTGCAGGGTAACCCCGGACCCCCCGGACCCCCCGGCCCCCAGGGGGCTCGGGGCCAACCTGGTGTTATGGGGTTCCCTGGTCCCAAAGGTGCCAATGTGAGTAAGGACCCTTTTCCCTCTAAAAATACCCGGGAGTTCTCCCTGGGGCCAGAACCCCAAATCCTCCATCCTTGTTTAGGGCGAGCCTGGAAAAGCTGGTGAAAAAGGACTTCCTGGAGCACCGGGGCTGAGGGTGAGGTTTTCTATCACACAAACCCCAAAAATTCACCTTTTGGTGCCACTCCACCCTAAAAGCCCCCAAAGGGGGAAACTGAGGCACGGGAAGGGGGGAAATAGGCATTATGGGATTTGGGGCTCAGTTTTCCGTCTCCTCAGGGACTTCCTGGAAAGGATGGAGAGACTGGAGCCGCCGGACCCCCAGGACCTGCTGTGAGTGCAACTGGGCGAGCTCAGGACTGGGGCTAAAAACCCCAGATTTGGGCTAAAGCCCCCCTGGATCTGCTGGGGGATCCCAAAACCCACAAATCCTTAGCCCCTGTGGTGCTGGGGCCTTGTGGGATCCCCAAAATCTTGGGGTGGGGGAAGTCTGAAATCCCAAAGGTTTTTGGGGTCCTTGAGCAGCGTCCATCCCACAGGGCCCGGCAGGGGAGAGGGGAGAGCAAGGAGCCCCCGGCCCCTCCGGCTTCCAGGTGAGCTCAGGGGTTTGGGGTTTGGGATTTGGCGTTTGGGGTGATGCCACCCCAACCCCCAGGGTCCTGCTGTCACTGTTCTCACATGGCTCCTGTCCCCTCCCAGGGACTGCCAGGGCCGCCAGGTCCCCCCGGCGAGAGCGGCAAACCTGGAGACCAGGTGAGACTCCCCAGTCCCCCCCCAGGTGGGGTCAGGATCCCCCAAATCCCTCAGGCCTGACCCCAAACCCGTTTGTCCCCTTCCCACAGGGCGTTCCTGGAGAAGCCGGAGCCCCCGGGCTCGTGGGTCCCAGGGTAAGTGTCACCTGTCACCTGGGGGTGGGTCACAGAGTGTCCCCTGTGGGGGGCTTTTAGGGGCCAGTGTCACCTGTCCTCCCATTTGGGGATGTGTTCATCCCACGGGGACTTTGGAGGGCCTGGTTGTCCCCACCCAGGGCCACCAGATCCATGCTGGTTCCATCCTCATCCCAGTCCCTCCAGGGTAGCATGAGACAGTGCCCTCCCCATCCCCTGGTGCCACCGCCATGGTGTCCCCATGTCCCTGCTGAGCTGTCCCCATGTCTCTGCTGAGCTGTCCCCTTGTCCCAACTGAGCCATCCCCATGTTCATGTCCCCATGTCCCTGCTGGTCCCCGTGTCCCTGCTGAGCTGTTCCCCTGTCCCTGTGTCCCCACTGAGCTGTCCCCCGTACCGATGTCCCCGCTGAGCTGTCCCCATGTCCATGTCTCCATGTCCCTGTTGAGCTGTCCCCACTGTCCTCGCTGAGCTGTCCCCCTGTCCCTGTGTCCCCGCTGAGCTGTCCCCATGTCCATGTCCCCATGTCCCTGTTGAGCAATCCCCACTGTCCTCGCTGAGCTGTCCCCCTGTCCCTGTGTCCTCACTGAGCTGTCCC